ACCACACAAGAGCACGGCAGACCATACAGGAGCACGCCAGACCACACAGGAGCACGGCAGACCACACGTTCGCACGGCAAACTCCACAGGAGCACGGCAGACCCCAAAGGAGCACGGCAGACCACAGGAGCACGGAAGACCGCACAGGAGCACGGCAGACCACACAGGAGCACGGCAAACCAAGAAGGAGCACGGCAGACCACAGGAGCACCGCAGACGCCACAGAAGCACGGCAGATCGTCGTCGTCGTCATCGTCGTCGTCGTCTTCGTCAATAACGATCTCGAAAATTACGACAAAAAACGATGACAGAAAACGACCACAAACATAACACAAAAACCAACCGAACACGGAATCCAACAACAAAAAAACAATCAGAAAAACGACCGCAATCATAAAATGATAACGACGGCGACAGCGAGAACGGCAACAGCGGACGATTATAATGAAAACGACGACCACGACAAAGGAAAGGCACGCGACGACGACGACGGACAAACAAAAGACAAGACAGGCTGGAACAGAAAAAGTAGGCTGGGCGACAACGGGTGGGGGCCCGCGTGGCCGAGAGAAAAGCACGGTGTCGACACCATGATGTGGCCAGGGCAGCAGACTACCTCGACAGACCAGCGCGGCAGGCCACCATTTAGTCTGTTCTGTTGCGTTTATGGGTTTCTCTGACGTTCTCGCCAATACGGTCTCTGACGCACGTGGTGGATAAAAAACGGCGCTTCCCGTTCTTGTCCGGTCAGGTTTCCCCAAAATGGCCATTTCGCTCGAGACATCCTCGAAAAATCGAGGTGTTGGAGGCTATCGTTTAAGACGTCTTATGTCAAAAATGACGGTTTCGCTCGAGACATCCTCAAAAAATCTGGATGTTGAGAAATATCAAAAATTTTTGTATGCATGAAAAATGAGCGTTTCGCTCGAGACATCCTCGAAAAAATGAGATGCCGACAGAGGTGTTTTAGAACCTCTTATGTTAAAAATGACGTTTTCGCTCGGGACGTCCTCAGAAAATGAGCAGGTGGTCTGCCGTGCTCCCGTGTGGAGCACGGCAGACCACGGCCATTTCGCTCGAGACATCCTCAAAAAATCGAGGTGTGGTCTGCCGTGCTCCTGTGTGGTCTGCCTTGCTCCTGTGGTCTGCCGTGCTCCCCACAGGAGCACGGCAGACCGCGCGTAGGAACCGAGAGGAGCACGGCAGACCAAGACGAGGAGCACGGCAGACCAGGCTTAGGAACCGAGAGGAGCACGGCAGACCAAGACGAGGAGCACGGCAGACCAGGCACCAAGAGCGCCCTCAAGACGACGGAAAGGATGACCAAGACGAGGAGCACGGCAGACCAAGACGAGGAGCACGGCAGACTATGCCCTAAGAGTGCCCTCAAGACGGCCGAACAACGGCAGACCCCATAGGAGCACGGCAGACCACAGAAGAGCACGGCAGACCAACAGGAGCACGGCAGACCACACAAGAGCACGGCAGGCCACACAGGAGCACGGCAGACCACACAGGAGCACGGCAGACCACAAAGGAGCACGGCAGACCACACAAGAGCACGGCAGACCCCACAAGAGCACGGCAGACCCCACAGGAACACGGCAGACCCCACAGGAGCACGGCAGAGCACACCCAAAAGGAGCACGGCAGACCACACAGGAGCAAGGCAAACCACAGGAGCACGGCAGACCACACAGGAGCACGGCAGACCCCACAGTAGCAAGGCAGACCCCAAAGGAGCACGGCAGACCACCGGAGCACGGCAGACCACACAGGAGTACGGCAGACCCCACATGAGCACGGCAAATCCCAAATGAGCACGGCAGACCACAAGAGCACGGCAGACCACACAGGAGCACGGCAGACTCCACAGGAGCACGGCAGACCACAAAGGAGCACGGCAGACCACACAGGAGCCCGGCAGACGCCACAGGAGCACGGCAGACGCCACAGGAGCACGGCGGAACCCACAGGAGCACGGCAGACCGCGCGCGGGTACAACATAAACGCGCCTTTTTGTTGTACCCCGAACGCCGCTGGCGTTTCCCCAACAGGAGCACGGCAGATCTCACAGGCGCGCGGCAGACCCCAAATGAGCACGGCCGACCACAGGAGCACGGCAGACCCCAAATGAGTACGGCAGACCCCAAAAGAGCACCGTAGACGCCTCAGGAGCACGGCTGACCACACAGGAGCACGGCAGCCTGGGCCGGTTCCGGCGCCGGCCGGCGCCGGAAAATTGAATTCCGAGGCGGTGCCGAAAAAAGGCCACTCCAAGACATATTTTTCTTTCGAAAATATTGATTTTCTGCTCCCGGCGCCCGGGAACCCCTTCCGGGCCGCTTCTGGCACCCGGGCCGGCGCTCGAGCCAAACGCCCGGGCCAGCACCCGGGCCAGCGCCCGGGCCGGTTCCGGCGCCGGCCGGCGCCGGAAAATTGAATTCCGAGGCGGTGCCGAAAAAAGGCCACTCCAAGACATATTTTTCTTTCGAAAATATTGATTTTCTGCTCCCGGCGCCCGGGAACCCCTTCCGGGCCGCTTCCGGCACCCGGGCCGGCGCTCGAGCCGAACGCCTGGGCCAGCACCCGGGCCAGCGCCCGGGCCGGTTCCGGCGCCGGCCGGCGCCGGAAAATTGAATTCCGAGGCGGTGCGGAAAAAAGGCCACTCCAAGACATATTTTTCTTTCGAAAATATTGATTTTCTGCTCCCGGCGCCCTGGAACCCCTTCCGGGCCGATTCCGGCACCCAGGCCGGCGCTCGAACCGAACGCCCGGGCCGGCACCTGGGCTGGCGGCCGACGCGCGATGCGCTGCCACAAGCCAGCTTCCCGCAAGATCGGTCCAGAGTGGGAGGGGACGGAGCTGGGCGGGTGAAGGACCACCAGAGCACTGCTCCAGCCTTCCCTCAGCCCTGGGTCTGCTGACCACACAGGAGCACGGCAGACCACACAGGAGCGCGGCAAACCACAAAGGAGCAAGGCAGACCCCAAATGAGCACGGCAGTCCACACGTTCGCACGGCAGACCGCACAGGAGCACGGCAGACCGCACATGAGCACGGCAGACCAAGAAGGAGCACGGCAGACCACACAGGAGCACGGCAGACCACACAGGAGCACGGCAGACCACACAGGACACGGCAGACCCCACGGGAGCACGGCAGACCACACAGGAGCACGGCAAACCACACAAGAGCACGGCAGACCATACAGGAGCACGCCAGACCACACAGGAGCACGGCAGACCACACGTTCGCACGGCAAACTCCACAGGAGCACGGCAGACCCCAAAGGAGCACGGCAGACCACAGGAGCACGGAAGACCGCACAGGAGCACGGCAGACCACACAGGAGCACGGCAAACCAAGAAGGAGCACGGCAGACCACAGGAGCACCGCAGACGCCACAGAAGCACGGCAGATCGTCGTCGTCGTCATCGTCGTCGTCGTCGTCTTCGTCAATAACGATCTCGAAAATTACGACAAAAAACGATGACAGAAAACGACCACAAACATAACACAAAAACCAACCGAACACGGAATCCAACAACAAAAAAACAATCAGAAAAACGACCGCAATCATAAAATGATAACGACGGCGACAGCGAGAACGGCAACAGCGGACGATTATAATGAAAACGACGACCACGACAAAGGAAAGGCACGCGACGACGACGACGGACAAACAAAAGACAAGACAGGCTGGAACAGAAAAAGTAGGCTGGGCGACAACGGGTGGGGGCCCGCGTGGCCGAGAGAAAAGCACGGTGTCGACACCATGATGTGGCCAGGGCAGCAGACTACCTCGACAGACCAGCGCGGCAGGCCACCATTTAGTCTGTTCTGTTGCGTTTATGGGTTTCTCTGACGTTCTCGCCAATACGGTCTCTGACGCACGTGGTGGATAAAAAACGGCGCTTCCCGTTCTTGTCCGGTCAGGTTCCGGGAAATTGGCCGTTTCGCTCGGGACATCCTCAACAAATCGGCTCCGGAGGGGACTCCGAAACAGCATTCTCTTGGAATCGCTCGCGGAGGGCCTCCAAACGGCCCAAGAGAGACCCCGAAGGCCCCCCAGAGGACCCCCAAAGCGCCCCAAGAGACCCCCAAGAGCCCCCAGGACGGCCCCCAAGACGACCCACGGTGCCGCCAGGACGGCCCAGGATGTCCTCAGGACGGCCTCGAGACGGCCTCCAGACGAACTCGAGGATGACGGGAAGCGCCTCCGGCGTGCACCGTTGGTTCTGGGGCTTAATTTTCTCTAACTAAGGGGTACGGGCCCGCACTTCGGAACTCGCTGGCGGCGGCCTGCGGCAGCAGAGGGACGCGGGCACCCCGAGCCAGCCGGCACGGGTCCTCCTGCTCGTCGTCGTCGTCGTCGTCGTCGTCGTCGTCGTCGTCGTCGTCGTCGTCGTCGTCGTCGTCTCGTCAATAACGATCTCGAAAATTACGACAAAAAACGATGACAGAAAACGACCACAAACATAACACAAAAACCAACCGAACACGGAATCCAACAACAAAAAAACAATCAGAAAATCGACCGCAATCATAAAATGATAACGACGGCGACAGCGAGAACGGCAACAGCGGACGATTATAATGAAAACGACGACCACGACAAAGGAAATTCACGCGACGACGACGACGGACAAACAAAAGACAAGACAGGCTGGAACAGAAAAAGTAGGCTGGGCGACAACGGGTGGGGGCCCGCGTGGCCGAGAGAAAAGCACGGTGTCGACACCATGATGTGGCCAGGGCAGCAGACTACCTCGACAGACCAGCGCGGCAGGCCATCATTTAGTCTGTTCTGTTGCGTTTATGGGTTTCTCTGACGTTCTCGCCAATACGGTCTCTGACGCACGTGGTGCATAAACAACGGCGCTTCCCGTTCTTGTCCGGTCAGGTTGCCGTTGTTCGGCTGGCACGGTTTTCCAGACAGCGCGCTGATTGTTTACATTGGGATTGTGTTGCGTGACCGCCCGGGGGAAGGAAGGCGAGGGGAACACACGTCGGACACCGAGTGGATCGCCCCTAACTGCTCAGTGCGCCCCTCCCTCTCGCAGAAGTCCCGCAGGCGTCTTTGTATTCCTTCTCGCGGTTCCCTCCTGGAGCGGTGCAGTCTTTTGCCGTGGGCGTGTCCAAATACATCCCCCGAAATTGTCAGCTTGTCCCACCATCGATTCTGGCTCAAGCAGCATGCCGGCCAGGATCGAGCCTGTGCTCGTTTTCCGGGCGTTCCTGCTTGCGGTGCCATGTCGTCCTACGACGCAGTGGCGGTATGTTGTGCCACCTCGGTGCTGTTGGCACAGGTGAGCGACGCAACAAAAATCTGTGTCGTTTTCACCGACATTGGCGCGTAAGTTGGTCGCGTAAGGTCGCGCGGATGCGCCTTGGTCTCCGATGTAGCGTGCCGCGCTGGCGGCCCGCGTAAGCCGCCGCGTAAGGTCGCTACGTCATCTCGCGTAAGATCCGTTTTCATTCGTCGCCCAGGTGGTGGTGTTTGTTGGCGGCGGCGGTCTCACGCGAAGCTGGAGGTCCGCAGAAATGATCTGCACACACACACACGCACGCACGCACGCACGCACGCACGCACGCACGCACGCACGCACGCACGCACGCACGCACGCACGCACGCACGCACGCACGCACACACACACACACACACACACACACACACACACACACACAACACACACACACACACACACACACACACACACACACACACGCACGCACGCACGCACGCACGCACGCACGCACGCACGCACGCACGCACGCACGCACGCACGCACGCACGCGCACGCACGCACGCACGCACGCACGCACGCACGCACGCACGCACGCACGCACACACACACACACACACACACACACACACACACACACACACACACACACACACACACACACACACACACACACACACACACACACACACACACACACACAGACACAGACACACACACACACAAACACACACACACACACACACACACCGCGACCGTGCCCGGGCAGGGCTATCTCCTGGGCCCCAGGGCGGTGTACTCAGACCCTCCCGTCCGAGGCCAGGAGGGCGGTTGCACCATCTCCTCCTCCTCCTCGTCCTCCTCCTCCTCCTCCTCCTCGGGGCTCAGGGTGGCCCTGGCCAGGCGTGGTGGTTGTGCATCAATGTCCTCTGCGTGCGAGGTTCCTCGCGGAGACACCAGGGAGGTCGTTTGCCCTGACAGCCAGATGGCGCGGCGAGACCGCGTCGGCGGCGAAGAGCAGCCTTGCCGCACAGAAGGTGGTTGAGCTCATCGAGCTCCGCCGAGTGCAGATGTTCAGGATCGGAGGAGGACAACTGTACAGATCCACCTTGGTCCTCTCCCCCCTCTCAGGAAGGAGGAGATTGGGAGGGGAGGGAGGGAGGAGGTAGGCCTGTACAGGGGGGAGAGACAGAGGGTTGGAGGGAGGAAGAAGGTGGAGCGAGGAGGGAAAGAGGAATGGGGGAGGGAGGAGGATGGAGGTGGACCTGCGTAAATGTTCGATCATATACAGGAGTTTCCTGCGCCCGATGTGCGGTTTGTGTTTCTGTCTCGCGTCAGGCGCGCTCGTCATGATCATTCGGGGCGGCTCGAGGTGGGGTTCCCAAGCGACCGACCTTGCGTTTTTCTGTTTATACATTGGCTTGATCGCGCTGAGCTGCAAATCCCATTGGCTGCACGTGCGGTCGCTGAACTTCTGGACCTCGGCGATGATGTGTTGTCTCCTCGTTGCTGTCTCGCCGTTGGCCATCGAATTTACCACGCTGCCGATAGTGTTTGTGTACACGCTGGGGCTGCGGCTCATCCTCAGTCTTTGCATGCGTCCGCCCCTGTTCCTCCTCTGGAAGGCAGTGTACCTGATGGTCGTAAGCGTCCACTTTATCCCTTATGTGACCGCCCCGCACGAGGGCGAGGGCAAGTTCACGAATTGGACGCACCACACCATCATCCCCTCGGAGGTGATCGCGTGTATTGCAGAGGTGAGCTTCAGCTTCGCGGCCCACACCGTCATGAAGGCCGAGGCGTGGCAGACCGTGCAGGCCCGCACGTCGCACAGTGGGCTGGAAGCGGCCCGCTCGCTGCTGGGCACCATCTGCGACGCCGTGGTGGAGCTTGACGCGGACCTGCGGCTCACGGTCCACTGCCCCGGCCTGGCGACGATGCTGTTGCGCAGCCCCCACCTCTCACTCACCGGCACGACGCTGGACAAGTACATGGCCTCCGAGGACGACCGCGAACGTTTCAACAGCCACCTGCAGGTGCCAGTGCACGAGACAGGCGCTCAGCATCGCTAAGCCCATCCCCGTCCTCACTTGGCTCGGGTTCCTTAGCGCAACCAGCCTGCCGCCTCTAGTTGAGGGGAGGTGTCACGGAACCTGAGAAAAACGGCATCTACATCCCCGTATCAAGGTAATTATTCACGCTTCGTGTATCCCCACAGCCCTTGCTGCCGCTGCCTTTAGGCTTGCTTGACCCTTGAGACGGCGCGCGGCTCTACCGCTTGCGCTCGCGAAAAAAGTATCCCCACCGCCCGTTCAGAAACCCTGCCCATGAGAGCTGACGGGAAAGAGACCAAGAGGCACATATAGTGAAACAAAGAGGGCAACCAGGATGAACAGAGAGATCTCTGATGGGAGCAGGGGGGTTGGCCTTGCAGGGCCTCGTCGGGGCGTTCTGGGGCCTGCGTGGAGGCGAAGGAGGAGGAGGAGGAGGAGGAAGACGACGACGACGACGACGACCACGACCACGACGACGACCACGACGACCACGACCACCACGACGACGACGACGAGGAAAAGGAAAAGGAAAACGATGAGGGCAAGGACGAGGACGAGGAGGAGGAGGAAGAGGAGGAGGAGGAGGAGGAGGAGGAGGAGGAGGAGGAGGAGGAGGACAACGAGGACGAGGACAGAGCCCTGAAAATCGCTTCTTTGTGCCCTCCTGGGACTCTGGGGGGATCTTGGTGTCCTCTTGGAGCTCTTTTGGGGCGTCTTGGGACCCTCTTGGGGCCCTCTTGGAGCCCTCTTGAGGGTCCCTTGGGAGCCCTGGAGGGCCTCTTTTGGCCATCTTGGATGATGCCATCGATCAAAATGGAGGGTCCTAATTTGCCTTCCACTCCCCTGGGGCAATCAACATTGCCTCTGGGGGCACTATCGGGACGCTCTTCGGCTGCTCTTGGGCGCTCTTGGGGCCGTTTTGGAGGCCTCTTGGGCACCTCTTGGGACTCTCTTGGGCCATCTGAGAACAATCTTGAGGCCTCGAAAGCGCATCGGAAGCGAAAAGGCGAGAAGGCACAAATGATGTACATTCTCCATGTGTTTGAAGGGTTGGGGCCTCTTGGGGGGGGCTCCTGATGGGGCTCCGGGAGCACTTGAAACCGTCTCCGGGCCCTCGTCGGGCATCTTGGAGCCATGTTGGAAGCTGTCTGGAACCACTGTCGGCCATCTTGAGCCGCCTCGGGGGCCATTTTTCAGCGAGCCATCTTGGGCACCCTGACACCTCGCGGCCCGCCCCCCAAACAAAGTCAGGGAGGGGCGGGGTAGGTTTGGTCAGAAGAGGACAGGCTGATGTCATTAGACCACCCTCGTCCAAAGGGCTGGTGGGATTGGGTTTGCCCCAGGGGGGGTCTGTCGATGCGGAGGCGCGATCGCCGACGCATTCCACCTCAACCTGCGCGATTCTTGCGGGAGCGCGATCAGCGCAGAGCTCTTCCACGTCTGCTTCCGCGACTGCCTGACAGGGCTGCCGCAGCATTTGGTGGGCCTCCGCGAGCACAGCGACCTCGCCGAGCCTCCCGCTGCGCCCCAGCCTGGCGTCTCGAGGCAGGCGTGCTCGCTCGATGCCTCCGCGCGGCGGCAGCCGCCAGAGCTGACCGTCGTCTTCGACGCCGTGACGTTCGGCATCCTCAGGACGTCGGGGCCGCCCAGACGGGGCCGGAGAGTGCACGGGGTCGGTGGCGCGCGCCGCGTCGACGGTGCGTCGTGTCGATGCGGCGTCGACGTGGCGCCCATCGCCGACGTCGCGGGGTGCATTGCCGATGCATCGATGGTGCATCGACGATGCGGCTCGATCTGCCGTCCCCCGATCTGCCTCGGCCCCATCTGGGAGGCCTCTGGGACTAGGTCGGGCCTGTCCCTCTACAGGGGGAATGTTCACAAAATAGATAAAGAATGGTCTGGGGACTATTTTTTGAGTATTGTTGGGCATCTTTTGGGTATGTTTCGAGTATTCTTGTTTTTGTCCAGAATACCCCGAGTATTTTTTTTCAGTAGGGGGACAGGCCCGACCTCTCTCTAGGACCTCTCCCGCCTTCGACGCCTGCTTTGGGCCGTGCCCGCCAGGGTCGGCCGTCAGCGAATGGCTCACCCCGCAGGACTGCGGGGCCTTCTGCGACCGAGTCAACGGCTTCTGCAGCTCTGGCACGCCCTCGTGCACCTTCGATTGGGTGCCGTCAGGCCTCCGGCTGCCGCATGCCAAAGATATTGTGGTACCTCATTGTCTCAAGTGCACGCTCGTGGCGGACAGCCGCGGCGACGAGGAGGCGGTGGTGGCTTGCATCGTGCTGGCCATGTGCTATGACGATGAGTGCAGCAACAGCAGCGAGTCAAGCAGTACTCAGCGGATGCGGGCGATCGTGGAGCCCCCGCTCGCAGGCCAGCGGCAGATCGGTTCGCAGCTGTCGTATGTTGACGACCAGTTCCTACCGTCTCAGCCTGCATCGGCAGCTTTACATGCACTTGGAGAGTGCGTAATTGCATCACCGAAGCCATCGCACAGTACGATTTTGTAGCAGGCAACTACATACATGTGTCTTTCCAGCTCTGCCAAACATGCCCGGGTGATTGGACGTCCATCTCAAGCCACATCGTGTTCAATCGATCAATTTCCCAATGAAATCCGCTTTTAGTCTTCGCGAGTTTGCCGCCATGCTGCCAAGTAATCCTTAATATAGATGTAACCGCTTCGCGAGTTCTGCCCTCGTGGCTTTCACTCGTCAAGCTTCCTGCCGTACAGAGCAGTTGGAGTTCTCACCTGGCAGCTCGTCGGGACCATTGGTCACCATATAGATTTGCCACTTCGCAAGCCAAATCCCTCTCCCCAGTGTCAGCTGTGATCTTGAGGGCGTCCGTCATGGCAGATCTTTTTGCGCATTCCGCCCTTGGTCAGAAAAGTTTACGCATTGTTCCAGCCGTCATCGTCGGAATTACCACAGCTGTCGTTGTTGCACTTGTTGTCTTTGAATATTCAGTCGAACGCCGCGTGTGCAGAGTCGTCCTTCTCAACGCGCTATGAGACGAGTGATTCGAATATTGATTTGGTCGTCGTCCTCACCGTTGCTTGGTATGCGGCTTCAGCTGGTTGTAAGGATGACATGGCCAGTTCTAGTGATGTGAGCTGTGGAACGGTGGCCGTCTCTGTGGTAAGGATCCGCGAAGTGCATCGGTTCATAACTGCAGGCGTCGCGGTTCCGCCCAGAAAGGCGCAGGTGGGTTGCAGGATGTTTAGTTCGCATGCCGTTTGGCGCCTCAGTGGTCTGAGCCTGCGTTGTTTGCCCCTCGCCAATGTTGCTCGGCAGTCCATGCGGGGTGCTGAGGCCCTGCCGGGATCCTTCTGATTTTGGATTGGAGAACGTGGGAAGCGAGGACGCCCTGAAGACAGGTACCATCTTGGGGCATCTCGGCGCATCATCTCCTCCTCCTCCTCCTCCTCCTCCTCCTCCTCCTCCCTCCTCCTCTTCCCCCTCCTCCTCCTCCTCTTCTCCTCCGCCTCCCCCTCCCCCTCCTCCTCCTCCTCCTCCTCCTCCTCCTCCTCCTCCTCCTCCTCCTCCTCCTCCTCCTCCTCCTCCTCCTCCTCTTGGGCCGTTGTGGCCCAGTCTTGCGACGCTGTGTTTGTTGTTGTTGTTGTTGTGGTGTACTCCCAGGATCTGCCCAGAGAGACTCTCGCACATCGAACCCCCTACAGTGGGGGACCCCTGCCAAGAAACACCCTGCTCGCCTTCAGGGTGCTTTGGGTTTCTTGGGTTTCGATGGCGTCGCCATGGGAAGCGTGACGTCCCTAAACAACAAACGGATGGACGTCCTGGGGTTTCGGGGTTGGGTTTCTTGAGAAAGGCTTTTCTTGCGGTCGGGCCCCTACTGTAGGGAGGGGGCTTGGGATCGCCAGACATCTCCAGCGCGAGTCAGGACTTCTCACGGCCCGATTCGACCCGATCCCAAATGACACCGGAGAAAAAACCCAATCAGATTTTTGTTGGGGCTATGGGGCTGTAGGGCTACAAAGCTATAAGGTTATGCGGCTATAGGGCTATTGGGCTATTGGGCTATAAGGCTATAGGGCTATAAGGCTGTGGATCTATAGGGCTATAGGGCTATAAGGCTATGGGGCTATCGGGCTATAGGGCTATAGGGCTATTGGGCTATAGGGCTATAGGGCTATGGGGCTATAAAACTATAGGGCTATAGGGCTATAGGGGTATTGGGCTATTGGGCTATATGCTGTTGGGCTATTGGGCACCCCGGGCACCCGGGCACCCGGGCACCCGGGCCCGGCCACCGAAATCGGCCACGCACCTCACCGGCCACCCGGGCACCCAGGCACCGCCGGGCACCCGGGCACCCGGGCACCCGGGCACCCGGGCCCAGCCACCGAAATCGGCGACCCACCTCACCTAAACCTTTAATCCGCTAGGACCCCTACAGAGGCAAGCTCTGATTGGGGAAAGTTTGATCCCAGTCTCGTGCGACAACCGATTCCTTCGCCAGCCTGCGGGTGCCGAGCCCGAGTGGCGATCCCAAACGATCCTTCCCCGATCCGATTCGACGATTCGATTCAGCTCAGGCTTCGAGCTCTCTGGTGGGGGTCAGGCTTCGAGCTCTCTGGTGGGGGTCTGAGGTGGCCCAGCACTAGCGCCGACCAGCAGGAAGCAGAGAGGGTCGAAGGTCCAGGTTCTGGACTCGGGAAGGTTTTCTATTTGGTCCAGCCTCCAGGGGCCGTGTTCGGCTCTCTGGGACCGTGGAAAACTTACCCGGGGTGAAAAGCTGCACCAGATGGACCGCGGGAGGGGTCTGGGGACAGATTTTGAACAGATGTGGTTACATCCCCTCTCCTGACCGATTTTCTGGGGTCCCAGCCAGTTCAGGCCCCTGGCCCGCTCCAAGCTCAGGCCTGCCAGTGCCGAGGGGTCGGCGAATTTGCATTGTTTCGTAGTCGTGTCGATACAAGTTCCCCTGCACGTTTTGGACCCAATCTTACTTTCGCGCTGACGGCGCTCGTCTGGCTCTACTTCTCTCTATCATGTGTCGCAGCGTGTCGATTGTGGGGGTCGGTCGCGCCCACCCTCGTGTTGTTTGTTTGGGGGTTGCCAGAGGTGGTCCAGACCCACTGTGTACCCAGCTTTTCACGCAATGTTGGGCCCCCTCGTCCTCGTGGGGGGTGCTCTGGAGGCCGTGGTAGCCTCTCTCAAGATCCTGGGGATACGTTGGGCCAGTGACACTTTTGGCAACGCTCGATTGTTCTCCGCGGCGAGGAAAAATGGCCTGGCGCCATCAGGGACCACGGTACGCGCGCCAACCAGGTGGTTATGTCCTGGAAGATGTTGAACAGGGACCGCTCGGCGGGGGGGTCGCAGGCAGCGGCGCCCGTGAACCGCGGTCGGTTTGAACAGTTCTCGGCGACCGCTTTCGCCTGCAACCTACAGGAATAAGTCACCGAAAAATAGGTGCCACCATTCGAAAGCGTGGCGCCCAGCCGAGCGTTGCAATACGAACCTTGTGGAGGCGTTGAGACATTATGTTACGAGTTTTCTATTGTATTCTATGTCACCGCGATCGGTGAAGCTTGGCATGGATGTACCATTGCGCTGTTTCGATTGTCCTCTTGATCGCTCCTGGAGGCCTTCTGCTCTGTTGGGGATGCTGTCTGCGACAGCTATAGAAAGTGCTGTTGTCGGGCGTAACCCGAATTCGATGTTCTGGCGGAGAGTGATTCTTCGAATGGACCGGGTTGGAATGGGTTAGATTGAACGTGTCGTACCCAGTAGCAGGCACGTCTACCGTCGGTGACCCTCAGCGCAACCAATGTCGCAGCAGGTAGTTTTTGAGTTAACTTGAGCGTCGGCGGCCACCAGCGTAGCCAGTGGCGCAACCAGCAGCAGACGTTTGCAGCTCCGGCAGCCCTCGGCTTAGCTCATGGCGTAACTATGAGTGGACGCGTTAAGATTTTGCGGCCCTCGGCGCAATTTGTAGCGCATACAACAGCAGTCACGCTTCGGTATAGGTGGCACTCGTCATAACCCATGGCGCAACCAATAGTAGACCGGTTGGAGTTTGGACAGCCCTTGTTGCATTTTGTTGCACAATCGCATGCTTTTTGAAGGTTCGGCAGCCTTCGGCGTGACCTGTTGCGCAAGCAATCGCAGATTCTTACGCAACGTCCAACCAACCAGGTTTCAGGTCGTGGGGGTCTGGGCGCAACCTGTGTACGTAGTCAATGTTCAAATGTTGGTTGACATCGGAGCCACATATGGCTCAAAGCAGTAACCTCAGGAGGTCTTTAGTTTTGATCCCACCCTTTTTCACTCGGCAGTGAGTAGGACTGGCCCTAAAACCTCTTCCTCCTCCTCCCCCCTCTTCCTCCCAATCGCAGTCGTAGTCGCAGCACCAGCAGCAGGAGCAGCAGCAGGCTGAGGGAGAGGAGGAGAGGCTGGAGAGGCAGGGAGTGGAGGGAGAGAGAACAAGAGGGAGGAGGAAGGGAGCTGCTGGATGATGAGGGAGAGGGAGGAGGACGAGGACGCCGACGAGAACGAACACCTAGACAGGTGGACCTGGAGTGGACCGTGTGCGCTCACGGTCTCGGTTTGGCCAGGCCGAAAATCTGCGCCTGCACGTCTTGTGGGGGCTGCGGGGGGCGCGGAGCCCGAGCGGCGAGAGCTGTCTCGCGGGGGGGCCTCCACAGGGCCCGGGGCTGCCAAAAGCGCCCTGGTCAGGGCAAGAAGTCCGGTCACGGGGAGAGCCCTTCGGATCCAGGTCCCGCGTCTCGGGGGCGTCCAAGAGGGAGGTGATGACTAGGGGGGTGGATATCATGGCGTGAGCCATGGTGTTTCCTCAGATTTCATGGCGCCTCTTCTTATTTCACTACGTCCCTGGCCCCCCCCCCCTCCTTGGGCCGCGCACATGCCGCCGGCCATGATTTGCGCCTCTCCCTCTTGGACGCCCCCCTCTTGGCCGCCCCCCAGCGTCTGTCAAGACAATTTTCAATCTAGCCAACTTCTTGGGCCATCGATTGTGGGGCATGCTCTGGAGCTATTACCCGTTGCGTCTTCAGCGATCGGTGGCTCATTCGCAAGTGCTATCATTATCGTCCCTTGGCTCCTCTGAGTTGGCCTGATATAGTTATGCTACTACTTCTGCACATCGCTCTGTCACACGTGCGTGAGGAAGCCGAGCTCTTGGCTGGCAAAGAAGCTCGTCAGAAGGCCGCGAAGCGAAAGCAGGAGGCCGAGGAGGCGGAGCAGAAGAAGCGGGATGCCAAGAAAGCCAAGAGTTCCCAGGCTTTTGTTTGTGTTGTGCAAGCCGACAGGGTGAGCCATGAGGTTGATTATTCCTCCCCACAATTTGCGGCTGGGCTAGATTTTTGAGCTTACGTCACACCGCCGGAGGTCTTTTTGGGCGGTCTAGGGGCTCTGTTGGGCCATGTTGGAGGCCACTGAGGCCGTTTTTGGGGCCGTGTGGGAGTAATAGTGAGTAAAGTCCTATCAGGGTGGCCCGCGCGAGGCAGGACCTGCAATGAGGTCTCAAATGATGAACTTGGCCTCCGACGCCCAGTTCACGAACTCGTCCCAGCGTTGCTGCCAGGCTTCCCTAGCTGTCACCATTTTCCACATGCCCAAATCTTGCTCAGCACAGAATCGCTTGAGATTGTCCTCGAACCGCATTCATCTGCGACACGACGGCCTTCGCAGACGCAGCGCGCCGACCTTGCTGGCAGCAGCCTGCCGATCTGAATCACGTCAACCTAAAACGTTCCAAACCCATTCTTGTTCATCTTTTTTCGCCACTTCGCCTGCCCATCGCCATTTTCTCTTGAAGTGTTCGGGGGCCCACTCCTTCACAGAGAAGTCGCGGACAAGACGTTCAGGGGCCCTCCTGGAGGAGGTCGTGTGGGGGCCCTCTTTGCCTGTTTACGGGGCCCTCTTGGAGGCCTCTGAGGCCGTCTGGGATGATCTTGAGAGCCTCTCGGGCCGTCGTGGAGCGTCGGGACACCGAAAAGGCGAGAACGCTAACATCTTCCAATCTTGGATTGAAAATCAATGAATGTTGCCTCTTGGGAGGGCTCCTGGAGGGCTCTTGGGGTGTTTTGGGGACGTCTTGGGCCGTCCTGGGGGATCTTTCGGCGACTGGGGACCCTCTTGGACCGTCATGGGGTCCTCTTGGGACCCTCTAAGCTCGTTCTGGGGATACGGGGGGGCCCACTTCGCGCGGACCGAGGTCTCGTGGGATGGGTCGAGGGAGGGGTAAGCATCTCACAGGCTGATGACACGCCAAGGGGTCGGGGGATTTTGCGTCGGGGCCCTCCTGGACACTCTACCGCGTGCTCGCCAAATATTCCGCCGGGGCCCATGGCCATCGCGGTACAACCCGCACCAGCAGAGGTGATTTCTGCAGCTGACATTTTCAGTTTTCGCCGTGTACGCATAGAGGAACGGGCGAAAACCCACGTGTATTGACGGCGGGCAAATGTCCACATACCAGAAGAATGATTATCGAAGACGCCTACGGCGAATCACCGCCGCCCTTTGCCTTTTTGGAAGCGCCTATGCGGCCGAACGTTGAGGCCAGACCTGCCAAGCTATCGGATCATGTGTTCCCCGAATCGGTTTGGAAAGCCTTCGGGGAACACGTGGGCATCTTGAAGGTCACCTTGGCCGCCTGGAGGCCATTTTGACCCTTTCGGGCCTTCTTGGAGGACGTCTTGGAGGGCTCTTGGGCCGTCTTGGAGGCCATCTTGAGCGTCTTGGAGGCCTCTTGGGCCGTCTTGGGGCCTATTGGGGCCGTCTTGGGTCTCTTGGGCGATCTTTGGGGGCACTTGGGCGGTCTCGGGCCGTCTGAAGGCCGAAAAAAAGCAAATGCCACAATCCTCCAAAAGCTCATGGGAAATCAATGGTTTGGGCCTTTTCGGGCCTTCCTGGAGGCCCTCTTGGAGGCCTCTTGAGTGCCATCTTCGGCCGTCTTGGTGGGCCCCTGGCCCGTCTGACGCCGTCGGAAGCGGTTTGGGGGGCCTTTCTGAGCCGACTTGGGGCCCTCTTGGGGTGCTCCAGGGCCGTCTTAGACGCCATCTTGGGCGTCTTGCAGGCCGCTTGGGTCGTCTTTGTGCCCTCTTGGGGCCGTCTTGGGGGCCTCTTGGGCCGTTCGAGGGCCATCTTGGAGGCCTCTTGGGCGATCTTTGGGCGATCTTTGGGGGCTCTTGGGCCGTATCGGGCCGTCGGAAGGCCGAAACGAAGCAAATGTCAAACACCTAGGGACAAATCAGCGTTTTGGGCTTTTTCTGGCCTTCCTGGAGGCCCTCTTGGAGGCCTCTTGGGCCGTCTTGGGCCAGCTTCGAGCCAACTTCGGCCATCTTGGTGGGCTCCTGGCCCGTCTGACGCCGTCGGAAGCGGTTTGGAGGGCCTTTCTGAGCCGACTTGGGGCCCTCTTGGGGTGCTCCAGGGCCGTCTTAGACGCCATCTTGGGCGTCTTGCAGGCCGCTTGGGTCGTCTTTGTGCCCTCTTGGGGCCGTCTTGGGGGCCTCTTGGGCAGTCCTGAGGCCATCTTGGAGGCCTCTTGGGCGCTGTGGGGGCGGGGGCCTCTTGGGCCGTCTTGGGTCGTCGGGAAGCCGAGAAGAAGCGAAGGCCAAAATCTTTCAAAAACCTTAGGAAAATCTATGATTTGGGCCTCTTCGGGCCCTCCTGGAGGACCTCTTGGAGGCCTCTTGGGCCGTCTTGGAGGCCTCTGGGGGGCCTCTTGGGCCATCTTGGACTCTCTTGGGCCGTCTTGGAGGCCGTCTTGGACCATCTTGGGCGAACTTGGAGGCCATCTTGGGCCAACGTGGCCATCATGGAGGCCATCTTGAGCCGTCTTGGAGGAACAATTGTGCAATTGGGCACCTTTCCGGGTGGCCAGCGGGACGCGCCGGAGGCCCAGGGGGAGCTCTTTTGGAAAAAGAACCAAAACCAAAACCGAAAGGGTCCAGCACGCTAGGCACCCCTGCGATGAATCGACAGGGGGCGGCGGATCAGATGGCGTTCGGCACATAACGCCACCGTGCCAAGGATGTGGGTATGAGGCCACGCGGATTGCAGACGAGGTCCGTTTGGGAAGCAGTTTTTGAACCTTTTGGGGGACTCCTGGAGGCCTCTTGGGAGCTTTTTGGAAGCCTCTCGGAGCTCCCTGAGAGTCTGTTGGGAGATTCTTGATGCAACCGGGCGGCGGTTTGGGGTCGAAGGCTCGAAATGTCAGTCTGGGTTCCTCATCTGGACCCCTTCTTGGGGCTGTCCTGGAGCTCCCCTGGGCCGTCCTGGGAGCTCCTTGAGCGGTCTTGGGGCCCTCTTGGATCGTCTAAGAGCCCTTTGGGGGCCTTTTGGGCCGTCTTGGCGCGATCCAGGAGGCCACGTGGGCGTTTTGGGCTCTCTTGCAGCGGCCGGAGGGCCTCTTGGTGCGCTCTTGGCCTGTTCTGGGACCCTCTGTCTCCCCGTGGCGCGTTTCACCTCTCCCCGGGGACCCTCCCCTAAATCGACCGGAACAGGCTCGCGGGGACGCGTTTGGGCAGCAGGGGGAAGCGTCCCACACGCCGCGGAACCCGAAGGGGTCGGCTGGTGAGCTCTGTGCGACATTGATATCACGCCTGTCTCCGTGCCCTCTCTTGTAGCTTTTCGGCGCCGAGGATTCAGATGCAAGCTGCCGCGCCCGTCCTCGCGCAAGTCGCGGGATACGCTGTCGGCTGGTGGAGCAGCGGCGGCCATCGCTGCATCTGTTCGTGTGAGGTCTCTGGCAGTGTGGACCGCGACATCATCGGGGTCCTGCAGCGCCAACTGGATCGGTGTGGCTCAGACCAGCTGACCTCCCCGCCGCCGACCACCTGTCACTGCGACGCAGGCGCGACCTGGTTCGGCACCGCGGCGGGCTTCGCTGTGGGCGTGGTGGTCGGCGTGCTCCTGTGCCTTGTCGTGTACTTCCGCGCGGCTGCTCGTCGCACAGGTGACTACACATCCGCCAGCCCCGAGCTGGCTGCGATCACTGATTCCGGGAGCCCGCCTGTACGTGAGGTACCCGGACGAGGACCTTTGGCACGAGAGGCTTCTCTGCGGGCGCGGACGGGTGGTCATGGGTGGTCCTGACACCTACTGAAGACCTGCATGAGGAGGACTTTGCGGACGCCGCCGAGATCTTGGCCTGTGGGCCGAAGGGCGGCACCCCTGTGAAGTTATGCGGCAAACATCTGTTCAAGATGGAGCACCGCTCCAACAACCACCACTCGGACTACATGGCGGAGGGGCTGAAGCTGGCTGATGAGCTGGTCAGCGAAGGAGGCGGTGGCCCTGCCCCTCCCCCTGAGGCGGGGCCCTTGGCCCCATTGGCCGACGTGGACATGGGGCGCAACCCCGCGACGAAGTGGATCACGCTCGAGGCCAGGTTCGGCTACGCTGCGGGCGACCCGATCGACGTGGTAGGCCAGCCCTTCCTTCGCTCGGGCGATCGTGGCGTGCTGGAGCTGGCAGACGGGCCCATTGCTGTGGGCATCGCTGACACCGTGGTCACAGGGCTGACGCCGCGTGCGGGGCCTCTGGACCTCCGCCTGCTGGGGACAAACTCGGACACGGCCTTCATGCGACAGGGTTTTGCCCAGCGCGCACATTCTTCGAAACGGGTGACAACCAGAAGTGGGCGGTGCAGGGGCCCCCCACCATGCGTTGGGTCTGCCTCGCGCACGCTGAGGGCAACACGACGCCCAAGGAGAGACACTTCTGGTGGCGTCAAGTCGTAGGGCTGGTGTCAACAGACCCTGGGGTTGAGGAGCATAGTTTCTTGTGCGAGCTGATAGGGACCGCTGTGGTCAGGGACGGCATCAACGCGGCGGCCCTGGAGTCTTTCGAGACGGTCTCGAGGCGCTTCCAGCTCTGGGAGGAGTTCTACGCGGAGGCGCTGCGGATCGCGGAGGCCGGCGACCACGGGGGCGACCTGGACGAGAGGAGGCTCTTCCTGGGGAACCGCCGGAGCAAGGGGCTCGCGATGGCGTCGCCGGAGTTGGAGCAGCATGTTGCCACGAAGTTGCAGGAGGAGAGTGCGGTGCTCAAGGAACGCCGCAAGGGTCGTGAGGAGCGGGGGCTTGCTCGTGCGGACCCGACGCGCCCATGTACTTCTTCAGGCTCTGGCGCCGCCGCATCTGGCGCCCAGCAGCCTCCACGGCAGACCCAGCCTCCAGGACGTGGGAGGGGGCAGGGTCGTGGGCGGAGCTGACGCTCCGCCGCTTTCTTCATCCGGCTGTCCACCGTCGCCCCCGGGCGGTTGGGCTTTT